CTGTTTTTATGTAGCCACTGCTAGATCTTCAGATTGTTTAGATTTCAGCTAGTTTAATAACCTGGGAAGCCTATTGTGTATCATTTTTCCAGAAAATCAATCAACTGAATTTATCTTAAAGCACTCTGTAACATGAACATGCTATGTACATGCATATTTAATGTTTCTTTTCAATAAAAGATATTTAATTACATCTGTTGTATAAGAGCTAAAAAAAACATTCACACTCATGCAGTAAGTAAGCTCATTTTATGCATTTTAAGAATTGAATAACACAATTATTCTCAAGGGCCCTTACAAAGTGCATGCAACACTCACTAGACCTGTTAATTTGACATTTTAGCACACAGCTCGTTTGAACTTACGTGAACATAACATTTTAAGTAAGCTTCAAAAGCACATGAAATGACCATATAAAAGTGGCAAGTACTTGAAGCTAGTATGATTATATACACTTTACACCAATTTCATCCAATTCCATTGATAATTAATCAAGACATCTTCACTTAAAGTCACAAATTTAGCCCTAACCATAAAACAATTTTGCCAATTATCTAAAACACTTTAAATCTTCCCAAATGTGAAGTCATGGTGACCAAATATTTATTAGAGGTTTGTGACAAAAACTATCTAACCACAGTTTGTTCTTGTTAATCCCTGACTGTAACTGTAGGCCAGTGAGGTTTTGAATTATTTGTAGACACAATCCACTCTATCTAGTAGTATCTGTAACAATTCATCCTTTTCAAATTTATGAAACCAAGGCAGTAATATAGGTCTTTTTGCTGAACTGCTACAACCTTCAATTACACACACATCATGTGGCATTTTTCAAGTTTCGAAGTATTATTTCCCTCACACGTTTATAATCTACAATGTATAACAATTCAAGACAAGAAAGGTCATGTTAACAATGTTTCTGCCATAGTATCATATCCTTATATGTATGTTTATTTGAAGTCCAGTCAGCATGTTGATTGAACCGTGTTGTAAATAAACATGAGCCAGCTGGTCATTTGTACATTGAATTAAGAATGTATATCAAACATACATTATGCAAGAGCTAAATCTGCCAAATGCAGGTCTTTCTTTAGGCCTGAAATGTTATCTAAATTATTAATTAGACATTAATTAACTTATCCAGACCATAATCAACTCTCGATGGCATCGCTAGCCTGCGATATTTACTGGATTATGATCCCATTTGCTGCTCGACTTCCATTCATAATTTAATCATGAAATGGATGATCGAGACTATGTTTTTTATCATACAGACTTTAGTAATAATGATCGAGGCTAGGCCGAAATTTCAACTTTTGTTGTCATCAACACCCTTTATTATCATGCTTTTGGGCCAAGTTTGAAACATCGATGGTAAATAAAATTGGTATTTTTTTGTAGATTAATATGCAGTTTATCACCCCAAATAACAAAGAATGTCATATCATTGGCTGAACTAGGTATCTTCCCAATTCAAATTGATATTTACCAACGAATGTTGCTATTTTATAAAAGATTAAATACACCCGACATAAAACGTACAAATCTGTTACTATCCGCCGCCAGTGTCGGCGCGAGCCGTCGATGATTGGAGGGGCAAAGCTGGGGCAAAGTCCAAGGTTAAGGGGGCAAAGGCATGAGCTTCAACTAGGGGTAGGGGGCCTCCAACAGAAAATTTTGAAAAACAGGTTGCCGGAAATGCAGCCTGGCAGTATTTCAGGAACTGATCGATGAGGTAAAGTGTCAAACAAACGGACTTGCGAATCACGACGAAGCCCACTCATGAGCGTCAAAGTAGGGAGTTCTCCCCTAGAAAATTTTGAAAAATAGATTGCCGGAAATGCTGTCTTACAGTATTCTGTCAGGCACCGATCGTCGAGATAAATTCTGATCAGATACCGTCCATCGCCTGATCACTAGTTTATCCGACTAGAGAACAAAATGTCAAACGAACGGACTTGCGAACCTCAACGATTTCCCCTTGTGAGCGCCAAAGTATTGAGTCCATTGTGGACCTCGCCAAGAAAATTTTGAAAAATAGACTGTCAGAAATGCTCTACAACATGCAAGTTTATGACTGAGTGGGGATGTGGGATTTATTCACCGTAGAAGGTATTGATTACCGAAACGTATCACAAATACTTTTTTTATTTTCTAAAATTATTTGGGGGGCAAACAGAGGGCAGATGTAGAAATAGGCAAATCCAATCCCAGAAATATCCTCCCTCATGGACCAGTTCAATTTATCTCCTTTGCAACTTTCAAAATCTAACATTCAAACGGCCATAAGGTCCCAATTCAATACTATTTATAAAACCGAATATATTTCTGGCAATTCAAAACTTAGAACTTATGGCACTGTAAAATCTACTAGACTATCCAGCTAATTATTTGCTTCATGTACACAATAAAAACTTCAAGTCTGCTATGACCGCACTACGATTGAGTTCCCATAAACTAGAAATAGAGAGGGGCTGGTATAAGAACGTCCCCCCTGATATGAGACTATGTGCACTCTGTTCCCTCTCTAAAGCAGAAACCGAATTTCACTTCTTAATTGAATGTCCACAGTATCAATCTCTTAGGCTAAATATTCTTTCTGCTACATTCAGTAACAACAATTTGGCCATAATGTTTGAAAATCTATTTGACCCTCCCCCTTCAGTTTCTGTGAGTGTATGTCATTATATATATAAAGCATTTCAATGTAGAAATCAAGCCTCAACTTAATAAGGTATTACAAGGCAAAATTTCACATTTTATTTTTTATCTTTTTGACATCTATACATTTTTTAAATGTTTCTGATAGATATTTTCACTTTTAACATGTACCATTGTATTTTATGTTTCGTATTCTTATAAATATATATACATGTATGTATGTTGCTATTTATTTTATGTCATGTTCCTTATGTCATGTATATGAATTGTATGCGGCCTGAAATGGGTGTTATGATACAATAAAATCTTATCTTATCTTATCTATCTATCTTATCAACAAAAATTACAGTGCTAGCTTTAAAATGTGTATTTTAGACTGCTCAACGCCCTTAACATTAAAAAAAATAAAATTTTCATAGAGATAATTCTGATGTTACCAAATTTGACATGGGAATTTAATTCAAAGGTACACATACATATACAAGATCATTTTTAGAGACATTAACATGCTCGACCTAGGTTCCATGAGGGTTCTCTTAAAAGTTCCTGGTATAGTGCAACCAAATATTCTACAAATGATTAATGATCTATTTCGAAGATTGATCCAAATAAGTCTTTATTCATACACTATCTATGCATACTTTCCAGCTTAGGAATATTTCACTTGTATTATCAAAATTACTGACAAAGATCACCAGATTCCATGCCAACATTTGTTTTAGACAATGATGGGTAACCGTACTTCAATACTTATGTCTCTTGGTCAAGTGTCGATCTGTTCAGATTTCAATGGATAAAGAATCAAGGGAGCCACGGTGGCTAGGTGGTTAAGACGCTGGCTCGCTAGCCTGGAGGGCGGGTGTTCGATCCCTGCATTGGCCGAGAAAGTTCATCCGGATTTTCCGACGTTTTTTCCCCTTGTCAGTGGTGCAGAACGGAGGGCCTGACAAGGACAGCTGTCTAGTCCTTCGGATGATACGAAAAACCGAGGTCCCCTGTATACATTGGAATGCATGTAAAAGATCCCTTGGCAGTTGCAATTCGATATAAGAGTAGGCGATAGTGCCGCTGCCCGGGCAAAATTTCCCTCATCGCACACTGTATGGCGTATGCCCGTCTTCATTAGCCCAGTATAGGAGCAGAACAGTAGGACGTTAAACCCCATTTCATTTCATTTCATAAAGAATCAATACAGCCTGTCAAGAGTATTTATAATGTTAAACTATCAATTAATCAAATCACCAAACCTAATCTTAAGTAATTTTTCTGTGGCTATAAGCAATCAGTTTTAATGTTATATGATAACTGTAATGTCAAGTTGTGACAGTAAGCATTAACGCTATATATATACTGCACATATGTTTGTGACATTTACAATAACACAAGCACTGTTTTGTTGACAATTTCGACATAAAATAATTCACATGATTTGAAGGGTAAGCTAATGTGAGCTTACTTCTGATTGTTGACCTATTATTTGTATAAATGATTATAAATGATATCCCTAGACAGATGATCTACAGATGAAACGTTTCTACGTACATGTATACAGGTGGCTCACGAAGTGAGGTTTTGTCTAACTTACTAGGAGATCCGCAGGGTCTGATCTCGGTGTAACCTAGGCGAAGGAGTTTCCAGCGAGCTTTCCCCAGGTCAAGGGTTAAGGACAGGTCAGTGGTACAGGACAGGACAGAGGTCATGGCAAAGAACAATGCCTAGTTGTTCATATGGATAAAAGACAAAGGTCCCATGTGCGTAAAAGAACTCTTGACCATTGAAATTCAAAATAAGAAAAGGCTGTAGTGCCGATGTCTGGAAAATTTCCCTCATAGTACACTGTATGGCATATGCCCGTCTTGATTAGCCGGTTGGTGCAGAAAAGTAGGCATCAATTTATATACAGGAAGGGTGCTTGAGTCACGGTTTGAATCATTTACATGACCATGGACCTTATAATACATGACATGACACACCGAGCCACTTCAAATGAACAGTGAAATCTTACTGCATATTTAATTTGTTTAAGTGGGTGTGATCAAAATATAATTACATTTCATATCACATTAAATCATTTTCTGAAATACTGGGAAATTAACTTGCATAATCATGATATATAGCAGTGTTATCTTCGGATAGACTTAAGCTATAGTTTTGTATGCATGATTCATACTTTGAATAGCACGCTTAATACAACGGTAAACACAAAATGTAGATAACCAAAATAATACTACGTCAAATGTCATATGCACGGAATATGAGATTTCTGTTCTGAACCAGTTTTGAATTAAAACTCAAAACTGAAAACAATAAAAGGATGATAAAAATATGAATGTATTTACCTTGTAAGTAGAATGTAAAACACATATTCATTAATGTTTTGGCAGGGGAATAATCTTCAGCTTCATTACATTCAAAAAGACACACAGCAAAATATTGTACAAGTCTAAAAAATATCTGTTCATCAACTTTTTTACTATGAACTCGCTGAAAATACAAAAAGACAAGATTGAAAAAAAAAAACCAAAATTTTTCTTATTTACAATGTTATATCCCAGAGAACGAATATGTGGAATAGAATTTCAAGACGAATGGCCAATGCTTACCAGACGTGACAATGACAACTGCAATTATTGCCAACAATAAATTGTCAAAACTATTCTTCATTTGGTTTAGTTTATATTCTTCCTTCCTTGGAATAAAACAAAAGAGGCTACTATGATAGGCTAAAAATCCACCACTAAATTTCACAGTCCTATAGAAATAAGACTGTTTTTGATTGCATCACGTTCAATCTGTGCAGTTTCATTATGTCCTTGGTTGACATCGGTGCACAAAATTTATTTCAATATTACAACAACTGTTTCTATTTTTTGTTGCAGTTGCTGTTCTCATGTTTGGTGGACATTAGCCATAACTTAAGACTAATTTTATTTCTTATGTTTACATGTACAATTCATATACATAGTCCTTTCAAGACATCTTTTAAATGCGCTACCAAGTTGGTTTTTGCTTACTCAGTCATTTGAGCAATCAAGTATTGAAATACAAGAAGCAATCATAGCAATAGGCCTAATAATTGACTAGAAAAAGGGATGTTCATAGATTGCGTCTAAAATGCCATTTAAAGTTGGTATTTCCCAATAGTAAGATTAACAACTCTGATCTCTTTACAAAATGGCAAATGGAAATCATAAATTGGACAACCCTTTATACATACAGTTAGAAAACAACACTAAAAAGTGGATTGGAAGCCATTCTAATGATTTCACTGACAATGCTATAAATCATTGATTGACAACAAAATGGAAAGGCTATTTTTTGTCTTATCAACACATCACTTGATCATTTCTAAAGAAAATATATATGGTTATTTTTTTTTTCTTCTATCATTACATGGAGTAAGAGAAATAGGGTTTTTCCATCCATTCGATACAAACTAGGTCATTTTGGGACTAACAATAATTTGCTTGCCCATAGAGATTTTTAGCAGTGGGAGGAAACTGAATGATTCAGAGAAAACCCATGAGGGTGGGCAGGTGCCGCTTCCTTTTAATGTACAAGCCTGGGATCAAGACCACTCCACTTGATTCAATGACAGACCTTATGATCTAAAGCCCATGTGTTTAATTTGAAGTTTTTGTCTTAGAATTGCATCAGAACACCAGCAGTAAATTTTAACCAGCAGCTGCCAGGCAGGATACACCCACATTTTGCAAGAGATGGATAGAGAAAAAACTAAACAAAAAGTGATTTTTCGTACAATCATGGGCCATAATTCAGGAATTTATGAGCTGATATGCGCGATTTACGAGAGCAGCCAAGATCTTTGGGTTATAAAGATATAATTCAAGCTTCATCAAAATCGGATCAACATTGTGACCTCTACAGGGTCAACAACCTTGATATACCATATTTTTTACACTATTTGTGTATGAGGGGCGGCCATTTTGTCCGGTAGTTTTGGTCCGATTTTAACGAAATTCTAACTCGGCCATCATTAGGGTGTAACGGTGATATATTCAAACCTTTTTTTAAAATCAGACAAAAATTGTGACCTCTGGAGTGACCACAAGCTAAAAACGTGATTTTTCGTACAAATCAAGGGTCATAATTCAGGAAGATACAATCCGATATGTGCGAATTTTGACAGAAACCAAGATCTTTGGGTTATAAACATGTATTTCAAGTTTCTTCAAAATATTTTTACACTGTTTGCGTACAAGGGGCGGCCATTTTGTCCGGCAGTTTTGGTCCGATTTCAAACTCAAGCGTCATTAAAGTGTAACGGTGATATATTCAACCATTTTTACATTGGTTATTAATGTCAAGTTTCATCAAAATCAGATGAAAATTGTGACCTCTAGAGTGTCCACAAGCTAAAAACGTGATTTTTCGTACAATCAGGGGCCATAATCCATGAAGTTATGGTCCGATATACGCCAATATCGAAAGGAACCAAGATCTTTGGGAGATAGACCTATATTTTAAGTTTCGTCAAAATCAAATAAAAATTGTGACCTGTAGAGTGTCCACAGATTGTGGATGGACAGGGGCGATGACAATATACGTCCACATGAAAATGTGGGTGTAGAAAAATATATATATAAATGGATCATTCTAGTGTCTATTGTGCCAACAAGAAATCAGGACAACAAACAGACTGGTTGGCAGAATGGTGGCAATGTTTAATTATATCAAAATGAAATATCCAAGACTGGGGTGATAGCGATATATGACCTAATTAAAAATTTGGACGTATAAAAAGAATAAAATCAAACATGAAAACATAAAAATTAACAGACACATTTCTTCAGAATATGATACAAGAGTATATGTCGACCTCCTTCAGGTCAGATCAATTTCATATATTACAGTATTTAAAGTAGCCAAGTCTCTAACTCAATATCATCCAAAATCTTCAACATTGAAAACACGAAGTATTTGTCAAATTAAATCAACATTCATGTTGTGATCTTACCGGAAAAAGATGGGCTTTTGATATCCAATATTTAAGACAAAATAACCATTTTACCATTGGTACACGAATCGTGTACCATAATGCGCTTCAGCCCCAGTTGTATTAAGAGACTCGAGGGACGAGGCTAGACACATTGCACCAAATCAAACGGCGTATGTAGACTGGAATAACCAGACACTAGAAATTTGCACTCGCTTGAGACTGCTGGCTTATTTCGCCGAACATAACTGATTTGAAATTGGAGTAAAAACGGAAACCATTGAATGTAAATCAGTTTATATACATTAATATTACAGTATTATATGCGTTGCGACCCACTTTTGTCAATTTCTAGGTCCCAAATGCTAGCGATTTAGCTCCTTCAAACACAACAGACTAAATTTAATAAGGCAAGAAAAATGATCAGAAACCTATTTAATTTGAGGAATATTTTTAGGGGTATATGATTCTCTGATCAATCATAAATGTATGCATGGCGGAAATAATATTTCACTAAGTTCAGTTATTGATTTTGTCTTGCTTACTTTAAGACTAGAACGGAGAGATAGCAACATGTCAGAAATTTCTGTGATGAGGTTATACTTTCTGCAAACTGACACTGGAAATGCTACAGGCCTCCAGGAATTCAATTATATCTCAAGAAAGTCACCATGGCAGTCTTGTATTAAAAGTGATTTGATACTGAACAGTTGGGGTATTAACAGCTAATTTAACTAATGTTGTTTGCAGTGAGATTCACCGATCTATAAAGAATATCATCCTGTCATTTTCTTTTTTAAGTATATTTTTGCCTAATAATTTTTCTGGTCGGAACTATATGTATATGTAGATATTTAAAAAGAATGTAACGGATGTTAAACTAAATGTGTGAGAAGTCGTTGATACAAAATATAACCTAAATGTGTGAGAAGAACTCAATAGGGATAAATGCTGTTCCTATTCATTAAATGTAAAATGTCTAAACCGATCAAGTACCAATAATGACAAGTTGATATTAATATTTTACAACACAGAACACATGAGAAACTTAAGTATGAGCCCTATGTCACGAAACAATATTCCCACAGCGGTGATTCAATATGGCATTTATTACAATCAGAAAAAGACTTGAAAACGGTTGTTAATCATAAGGAGAATATCGGATGCACATGGTTGATCCAACAGACATTTTGTCCAATACTCAGTGGTCCAACAAGGGTTGGGTGAGGAAATTTATTACTGCAATATTAGAGTGTGTAGCCAACTGGATTTTCAGAATAAATTTTTTATAAATGCTAAATGTAAATTACGCTATTAAGACAATATATAAATTATGACATGATGGATACAAAAATATCTTAAAAATGATTCTAAATGATCTCACTGTTTTTATATCTGTCTAAAGATGTAATTTTCAATATCTGATATCCATGTCAAACCAGCAGTTGCCAGGCAAGATACGCCCACATTTTGCAAGAGATAGATAGAGAAAAAGCTAAAAAACAAAGCGACTTTTCATACAATCAGGGGCTATAATCTTGTGACTTCAAGAGGGTTCACAACCTTGGTATTAGATACTTTTACACTATTTGCATGCAAAGAGCAGCCATTTTGTCCAGCAATTTTGGTCAGATTTTTACGAAATTCGAACTTTAACCTTCATTGACCTGTAACAGTGATATATTTAAACGTTTTTTAAAACTGAATACAAATTGTGACCTCTAGCGGGTCCACAAGCTAAAAATGCGAATTCCGAACAATAAGGAAAGAAAGAAAGAAATGGGGTTTGACGTCCACTCAACTCAAACTAGGTCATTTCGGGACTAACACAAGGTTCAATTTTATTTCAATAATTCACTTGCGCGTAGGGTTCTTTAGCAGTGGAAGGAAACCGGAGGTCCTGGAGAAAACCCATGTGGTTGGACAGACGACCCTACTCCTTGTCACGTACAACTGGGGAATCGAAACCCAGTCAGTTTACTCAATGACAGACCTTATGATACAGCGTGCACATGCTAATCATTCGGCCATGCAGCAGAGCCAACCTGTCCACTTTCAATATTAAAATCGAATGTATTATGAAACATGAAAGTAAAGATATAAATTATTTGTTCTTTTCACATTGACTGGGGGTTAAATAATGCGAATCTAGAAACAAAAGTTATATCAATTAAAATACACCTAGAAACAAAAGTCATATTAATTAAAATACAAATCGGGCCAATTAGGCCTATATTATGTCTCTCTGACAAGACTCATTATTGATGGTCGGATGGTATCAAGTAAGTAATAGTTATTAAATTTTAACATTTTATACCTTTGCAAAGCGGAATTTTTTTAAACAAGTATCCGGTAGCCAATAGGCCTAATAAGTTTTAGGTGGTCTTCAATAAAAATACAGATGTGGCATCATCTTTTGATGTTGGCGGACTAGTACTTCAAATAAAGTACACCTATATGGTACCTACAATTAATCAATTACCTACAAATTACATATTACGTTAAATATTGTTTTATATAATTACTT